CCAAAATCAAAGCTGCAAAGCAGACTGGCTTAGATAAAACAGCTGTAGCGGCTTGCTTCGCCCAGGAAGTGCCGAAACCAGCATGTCCCAGAGCCTCGGCTGAGACATTGGCCGTGTTTTTTTGGCTTTCCTGCGCTCTGTGCTTTCCAGGAGCCTTCAAGATGATCACTTTCCGCACACCTTGCTGTTGCACCTTGGCGCCCGACATGGCCCTTGGTGCGGTCAAGAAATGGTCAAACAGGCGGAATGCTGACTGTGCGAGTATGACCCCAACGCGGTCGGGTGATGAAAACCACATGAACAACTGACGAGGACCGAAGACGAGGTGATGTTTTCAATTCTTGTTACTACTAGTAAGGCACTTGTTTTTAATAGCTTCTTGTTACTACTAGTAAGGCACCTGTTACTACTAGTAAGGCACTTGTTACTAGAAGCGATGTTGTCAATGTGAGAGGAATGAGTTGAAATCGTTTCAGTGAAACCTTAAAGGAACAAGAAACTACTAGGAACCCGGGCATCGCTCCTATATAGGAGCAAGAACGCTACTAGGGGCTCTTGGCCTTACTACTAGGAGCAAGCAACTACTACTGGGTGAATGAGGTGAAGTTTGCGATCCTGACCAGCAGAGGCAGGGTGGCAGGGCGGCAGGGCGATCAGACTGGAAGACTTCGATGGGTTCCAAAAGAGCCTTTGAATTGAAAGAATTGCCTCCAACCCAAGAGCAATGGCCTGCAACATAAGAGCAATGGCCTCAAACCTGCTAGCGATTGCCTCCAACCTACTAGCGATGCACCAAAGAGCAATGGCCTCCAACCAGCTCGCGATGGCCTCCAACTTAAGAGCAATGGCCTCCAACCTCAGAGAAATGGCCTCCAACCTAGAGCAAAGGCCTCCAACCTAAGGGCAATGGCCTCCAACCCAATAGCGATGACCTCGAACCTAGGAGCGATGGCCTCTATTGCTTTTTAAGTGCTCTTTTTTTGTTTGTGTTGCATGTACAGTAAGCTGCAGTCACTTAGAGTTCTTTTTGTTTGGATATGTTTGGATGCGAAGTTGAAGAAACACATGATGTTTGTTGTTAACTCTTGAGATCTTTATAAGCTGGGTCTGGTATGTGTAGGGGTACTAGTCCTGTGGCTTTGTAGGTGTCTTTGTTATGCGCATATCCAGGGAAAACACCAGATGTCAATTGCACTCTCAGCATGTCTTTGTGTTGCCACTACTGCTCCAAAAGGGAGCATTGAATGCAACTACCGCGCAGTGAGTCTGAGGTATGCTGAATATCCTATTTGTTTCCTAATGCACCTTAATATTCTATCTGTTTGCAGGTTACTATAGACAATTCTTTTCTGTTTCTGCGCAGCGTGTCTCCCTTGAGATGCCTTGTCCCAATGGCTTCTTGCTTGCTGTCATTTCGCACAGAAGCCGGACAGGGATCAGGCTTCAACCGACAACCGCCAACCGGGTGAACCGAAATCAACCGGCGGTTGGCCGGTTCAGCCGGGTAACCGAGAACCGGCCAACCGGGTGAACCGAAATCAACCGGCCAACCGGGAAACCGCCGGTTGAGCCGGCCAACCGGGAAACCGCCGGTTCAACCGGCCAACCGGGA